GCTCGTGGCACACGAGCCACGAGCACAGCTTATGCGAGCACGAGCCGAGCTCGTGCGATCATGGGCCGAGCCGAGCCGAGCCGAGCCGAATGCGAGCTCGGGCCACGAGCCGAGCTTGCCCATTTTGCCACGAGCCGAGCGGGTGCTCGCCACGAGCCAGGAGCTCGGCTTGTGCGAGCACGAGCCGAGCTCGTGCGATCATGGGCCGAGCCGGCTCTGCTCGGCCCATTGCTACGACTAAAAATGCTATGTTCATTGAGAATGTCGAAGTTCGTGCAAGTTTGGAATCACAAAAAGTGAAAATACAAGAACTTAGAGTTCAAATTTCTCTACCATCAACTTCTTCTAATGTTGTTGTTCCTCAAATTGTTAAACAGTGTGACAATTTGCCAGAACAACAAATAAAAATAATTAAATATCTCACAATGAAATTGCTGCTAATGAACCTACACTAAATAAACCACAAGAAATAGAATTAAGAAGGTTACAGAGACAACAGACCCGCTATTTCTGATGATTATGTGTTTTGCCTGCAAAAGTCTGAATTTAACTTAGGAATTGTTGATGATGATCCGGTTTCATTTTCACATGCCATTGAGAGTGCTAATTCCGATAATTGATTAAATGCTATGACAGATGAGTTGAAATCTATGGAGCATAATGAAGTCGGGATCTCATCGAATTACCTGAATCATGTAAAAGAGTTGGATGCAAATGGGTCTTTAAGACCAAGCGTGACTCTAATGGTAATATCGAACGATATAAGGCTAGATTTGTTGCTAAAGGTTTTACTCAGAAAGACAACATTAATTATAAGGAGACATTTTCTCCAATCTCCAAGAAAGACTCACTCGAAATTATAATGGCTTTAGTAGCCCATTATGATTTAAAGTTACATCAAGTGGAGGTGAAAACCGTCTTTCTAAATGGAAATTTAGATGAAGAAGTTTATATGGATCAGCTTGAAGGTTTTTCAGTAGAAGGTAAAGAACACATGGTGTGTAAATTAAAGAAATCAATATACTGGCTTAAACAAGCTTCCCGTTAGTGGT